TTCAAAGCACTTTATGTAACTGAAGGAAGAAACATTGACAAAAACATTGACCATCAAGGAAGGAGGGCAAAAAACTCACACAAAAGCATCAAAAGCCTTAAGTTGTGTTCTTATTTTAAGCTAACACCAAAGAAAATACATTTTTTAAATAGAATATTCCCTTAATCTTCTCTAAGTCAGTGGTTTCTATAAATCAGAATTTTTGCAAGCACAGAATGGATGAAGCCAGCTTCAGGAACAACAACAAATTCCTTAGCTTTAGTTATATGCCCCTGAAATGTTTCTTCATTATGATGCACATTGAAAACATTTAGGTAAGCCCTGCCTTGTTTATTTCAGGAGCTGGAGCAGAAAGGCATGTGCAGTTATCTCTGCATAGGAAATGAACAATTATGCAACAAAATATATTTCAAAAATTGGTAAAACCCTCAGAATTCTCCCTTGCCAGCATGACAGTGCACTGTCCATTATTATTTTGTTGTTTTTCAAATGGAGGTGTACCCGTGTGTTATTGGGGCTCTGAAGTTTTACTATACCTAATAATTTTTTTTGCAGTAACTTGCACAATATTTTAACAGAAACACAAAATGATAACTCACAACTAAAGGACAGTTTCATAAAAAAAAACCTGTCCCTTTTCTAAAGTGATGTTTTTCACACTGTAGTCTACTGATTGCCAGAGGATCCAGAGCTTTATTTTCAGCGTCTGTGATTTGTTTTTTCCTTGAAAAAAAAGTTTCTTTCATTTTTCAGGTTTGCAAAACATTGCTTAAGTTTAAGCTAGTTTGGGCAGAAGAATATTTTGCTTCGAGCTGGAGTCACCTATAGTTTATTTAAAAGGGCTTTTAGGAAATCATTAGCACAGAAAACCCAGGCAACTGAGGGGAGGTCACAGTTCATTTGCTCTTTCTGTAGGGAACTGCACACACTGCAGATGTCGTGTCTGGGAACATCTGGGCTACACATTTCATACCTCCTTGCAATCATCCCATAGTCCTTCAGGAAGGAACGGAAATGCTACAACTAGAGAAATCGTGAATTAGCTTTTATTACCTCTGGAGAAACTGGCTGAGGACCTTCTGCCCTCCCTGGAAGGGCTCCTCACATGGGGAGGGGAGCAGCCATCCTATGGGTTGGCCATGGACTTGGCCAGTCCCATTGTACCTTGGATGGTCAGTATCTGTAGGATATTACAGAGTAGAGCATACTTAAAAGTTACTACTAGCTCCCCCAGATCTCACTACCGCAGGAGAGCAGGAAGGGTCCAGTGGAACATTAAAAGGAAAAATGAAGAGGGAGGATGTTTAAGAAACCTGTATGACCTTTGCATGTAACATTTGTTTTTCCTTAAAGCTCAAGTTTTTGGCTTTAGCCTGGAGAAGAGGACAGGGGAAGGGGAGAGACACACATGTTCAGTCTGGGAGTGTGGGTAGGTGTGGCCTGTGTACTCGTTTGTTCCAACAAGCCTGGGATGGGTCCATTAGTAGTCACCCATTCCATTCCCTTGGGGTTCTCTCCTTCCTAAAAGGAAAGAATAATCAGTCTTCTGGCTATTCCCTAAAACAAGAACGCACACCCCCTTTCAATTGGAGGATTTTTACTGTTAATCATAATGGAACTGTACACCTGAAACTAATATAAAATAATATCGAATGTCAACTGTAATTGCAAATATTTTTAAATAATTTTTTTAAATCACCCTGCAGAAACAGATGGGGGAGGGAGAAACTAAAATACAAAAAAATGAGGAAGTTACAAAACTGAAAAAGTTTGCATATTAGTGAGTACTCCTCCAGTTCCTAACTCACCCTGAGGTGGTAAATTCAAGTCCCTTTGCCCCTTTTCCTCAGCTTTTATTCCTGAAAGTTGTACTTCTCAACCAGCACCCTCCCATATGCTTTCCCCCTAGGCTTTGGGCTCCCTGTGGGCAGTAACTGTGTCTGAGCTCTGCTTGGTATTCTCAGTGTTCAGCAGTCTGGCACATCGGATTAACATATATTGAGCATTTACTATGGGTAAATTCTATATGAAGCTTTTACATGGATTAACTCACTCTTCAGATGATCCTTTGAGGTATTTACTGTTATGTCCCCATTTTATTTTTTTAATTAAAAAATTTTCTTTAATTCTCACCTGAGGATTTTTTTTAATTGCTCTTTTTAGAGAGAGAGAAAGGGAGAGAAAGAAAGAAACATTGATGTGAGAAGGAAACATCTAGTTAGGAGGTGGAGGGATTGAGCAAAAAGGAAAAAGGACTAAAAAAAAAAAAAAAGAAAAGAAACATTGATCGGTTGCCTCCCATACATGTCCAACAACCTGGGTTCGAACCTGCAACCTAGGTACGTGTCCTGACTGGAAATTGAATTCCCTATCTTTTGGTGTATGGGATGATGCTCCACTGAACTGAGTCATCCAGCCAGAGCATTATGTCCCAATTTTAGAGAAAGGAAACTGAAGCAGAGGGGTCAAATGAGTTGCCCACAGACATATGGCTGGTATAAATGGCAGAGCTGGGATTCAGTCCCAGGCAATCTGATTCCAAAGCTCATACTCTTAACCATTATGCTAGAAACATTTAAATATTGGTTAAGTATATTAAAAGAGCTCTTTTCCCCATTTCCAACCCCATTACACCTTTTTCATTTTTTCTCTAAAATGTCCCTTGCTCACATCAGTGCTCTATGTTCTCTAGCCCAAACTTCCTTTCTTTTTTTAAATTAATTAATTTTTTCAAATACATATCTCTGCCTACCCCCCACAATTTTCCCTCGCCCCCTCCCTCCCTCCCTCCCTCCCTCCCTCAACTCTTCCCCTCTAGCCCAAACTTTCAATATTCCTTGCATTTTACAATAACCTCGTAACTGTTCTTCACTGAGCTAGTGTTTGTTGTTTTTTTTAATTGATTGATTTGAGAGAGAGAGAAGCATCAATTTGTTGTTCCACTTATTTATGCATTCATTGGTTGATTCTTACATGTGCCCTGACTGGAGATCAAAACCGCAACCATAGGGTATGTGGGCACCCCTCTAAGCAACTGAGCTACCAGGGCCTGGGCCAGTGGTTTTTAAACTCCTTTGAGTCTCAGAACCTGTGGAGAAGTTTATTGATGGAAGCTATGGATTAACATGCACATACACAAAAATATGTACAATGGGGAGAGGGAAAAAGAGAATAGATCATCTTAAAGCCATCCATGAACCCTCAGGTTCCCTTTCTATGTGGTGGTAGAGGTGAAATGTGATAAGATGGCATTTGTGCTGCCTGCCATTACCAGAACCAGTAAGTAGAGACAAGGATTGAGTCTTTATGGGCGCTTTATTCAGATGCTGACAAGCTAAGAAGACTGCGGGTTATGTACCCTCAAAACCTATCTTAACATTTCATCTCAAGTCGACCTTTTTATAACAAGAGAGGGTAGGTAAGGGGTTTGGAAAAAAAGATTCATGAGATGAGTTGCAATCCATCGGTAATTTTCCTAGTACTTCTTATCTGTTGATCAACAATTCTTTTTTTTAAAGATTTTATTTATTTATTTTCAGAGAGAGGGGAAGAGAGAAAGAGAGAAACATCGACGTAGAGAGAGAAACATCAGCTGGTTGCCTCTCACACACCCCCAACCAGGGACCTGGTGCAATCCAGGCATGTGCCCTGTCTGGGAATGGACACATGACCTTTCAGTTTCCCAGGCTGGTCCTCAATCCACTGAGCCACAACAACGAGGGCTGTTGATCAACAATTTATCTGCTTCCCTACCTGAAACACAATGGCCCAGATGCCATCTTCATCCACTTGCTTGCAGACTCCATGGGGCACAAAGGTAGAATTGCTTGTCAACCTACTGGAATCAAGCAGGCTATGCATTCCAGTTTCTGAAGTAACAGCTTTCCACAGGCTTTAATTACTTAAGCCTATCAACTATATAGCTAAGGCTAAAATCTTTAACTCTTGAGTTCCCCCATCAATGGGAGGTGTGAAAGTTGAAACTCCTTTACAAGATTTAACCAGACCGGGTTTACTTTTCTGACTTCATCACACACCCTAAGTTTAGGGCTTAAGCAAACAGGGCAAGCACTTTCCATCTCTAGACATCTGCTTTTGAACATCTTGGTACTTGGAATATTTTCCCCCTCCACACTTGACCCATTTTTCATTACAGGAATGTTACCTCTCATATGTCTTTGCTGACACCCCAGTGAGAAACCTCTTCACCCGTATTCCTGTAACCTACCGCATACCTACTACATTGCTGTGATCTCCTTGTTACTTGCTGAGGAGTCCCCCCGCCCCTTCATCTTTCTTCTCCTCCACAGCAGGTGTGGTATGTCTTTCATCACTGTATCCCCAATATCCTAGTACGTGCGTGGCACGTAGTAGATTCTCACAACGTTTATTAAATGCGTTTTGAGGAAACTCGGCTCTTACTCCACTATCGGCAAGTTCACTACAGGTTTGGAGGCTAACATGCTTAGGAGAAATCTGAGCGATCAAAGTCCGCCGCGTGGGACACCAGCCAGAGAAAGTGAGCTTGAGGTCAGACTTTGGGAGTAGAGAAGAGACACCGGCCCCTTGTGCGGACACTTGGTGAGTAACACGCAATTAGTTTAAAGGGTCAAGTGGAAGGAAGCTGCACACCGCATGTTGGAACCTGGGCCACAGACGGCCGCGATGCACGCCAGGATTTGTAGTTCCTCCCCTTGCCGAGAACCTCAGTTACATTAAGCTACATTCGACCACGTCCTTATACAGATAAGGTGCGGTCCTGGTCAACCAGCACTTAAGTACGAGGTCCTCCAGGTCAACTACACCTCGCAGCTGCCTTCAGAGCAAACCTCACTTCGGATAGTGCGTACTAAGAAAGCGTATTAGGTACCCGTGCGCGTGCGCAACGCTTGGGTTTCTGCGCGCGCAGCGGCCTCCCTCCCCAGCCTCCGGCCTTTCCAAGGCGCCGACGCACTCTGCGCGAATTGTCCTCGCGAGGCCTCCTGGAGTCGGGTGGCGCAGGCGCAGTGTCCCCCGGCCAAGATGGCGGCGTGGTGCTCCACACGCTGGTTGCTGGTGGCTGTGGGAACCTCTCGGCTGCCAGCTGCAGCGGGGAGAGGGGCTCGGCCGCCCACGGGGGGCGTGGTGGGGGCGTCGCTGGGCCGCAAGCTGAGCGTTACCACCTTCGCGCCTTCCCTTGGAGCTCGCGGCCCTGGGGCGCTACTGACATTGAGACCCGGTGTCAGCCTCACAGGTGAGGGCAGGCTCCAGCGCCAGAGTCGGGGCTCCAAGGCCTGGAAGGGATTGATTCACCTCGCTCCCGTTACTGGGGTAGCCTGGTGAAGGGCGTTTTCCGACGTATATTGCGGAATTGCTTAGGGAGGCCGGCAAGCAGCAGGCACAGGGGCCCTAGTGGCTACTCAGGAGCTGCATGGAGTCCCCGGTGGCTGGGGTAAAATGCCTCGTAGGCCATGAACCTTCACCTCTATGTCAACATTTCTGGAGGCCTTTTTCTGAGCTACCGCTGCTCCTTATCCCTATTCTTTTCTCTTCCCTGCATCTTCTAGCCAGTAGCGGAAGGGAAGAGGTAGCTGCCGTTCGGTGAGCATCTGCTCTTGTGCTAGGCACTTTGTGCCTCATCTCACTTGGCGGTAACAACCACCCTGCAAGGTGGGAATTGTCATCCCTGTTATAGAGAGTGGGAAATTGAGGTCTAGACTAAGGTCGTAAGGTTACATTAAGAAGAGTTGTCCCAAATCCAGAGCTGTATTTTCATAGCTTTCACTCTTTCTACCACATGGTGTAAATTGAAGGTTACACTGAAGAGTCTCTTTTAGAAGCTCTTAAGTTGATAACTAATAAAAATGCAAACATTTATTCAGCACTTACTATGTACCAGGCATGGACATTTCCATATAGTAGGCACTGTTGTTATTCCATTTTGTAGATAAAAAAAACGGAGGCTTAGTCCTGGTTTGTGTGGCTCAGTGGATTGAGTGTTGGCCTGCCACGTAGCAGGTTGCCAGTTCGATTCCCAGTCAGGGCACATGCCTGGGTTGTGGGCCAGGTCCCCAGTGCGGGGTGCTCAAGAGGCAACCACACATTGAATTGTTTCCTTCCCTTCCCCTCTCTCTGAAAATAAACACGTAAATACACTTTAAAAAATTAAAAAAAAAAAACCAAACCTGAAGCTTAGATGTTAAACAATTTGTAGAATGTCACAAAGCTAAAAAGTGGCAAAGCCTTAATTCAAAACCTGCTTACTTAATAGCGTGGGTGATAGTGAATTAATATTTATTAAGCCTTTAGATGCTTAGCCATGATAGTTTTTCATGTGTGTTCAATGGCTTCTATTGTCGTGAGGGGAGGAAGGAGGAATCATCATTGAACAACCATGTGCGTAAATTGTGCTAGTTGGTTCTGTCCCTTGGAATTTGTGCAAATGGTATTTACTCTCTGTAACCTTAGAAAGATGATTAATTAAAAGGCCCCGACAAGGTAATTTCCTATTGGGTTCCAGCTTTGCAGTATCATTAGAGTTAGTATTGTGATTGCTTCGTGGAGTGAACAAACTCACCTCCACCAGTGTGTGTTTGAGCGTGGGTGAATTACCCATATTTTGCCGTGTTTAATGCACACACATTTTTGGCCCAGACTTTCAGGACAAAAATCTTTTGTTTTAATTTTTTAATTCAGTTTTTAAATTTATTTACATTTAGATATTTGTTTTTTGTATTATAAGGAAATGTTAGCATTTATTTTTGAACATATGGTATATTTTATGTAACAAATAATTACAAAACACAGCTGGTACAAGGTATTTCAGGCATTACCCATGCTTAATGCACATCCTTAATTTTTCCTCAAAAATTTGGGCAGAAAATGTGCATTACACACAGCAAAATAGGATATTTAATCCCTTTGAGTCTCTTAACTGTGAAAATTTATTCATTTGCAGATATGTATTGAGGGCCTGTCATATGCCAGCCACTGTTTTAGGTACTGGGTGGGGATATGAGATTGGCTGTGATGTCAGTCAAGTGATCCCATTTTTTAAAAAAATTTATTTTTTTATTGTTCAAATACATTTGTCTCTACCTTCCCATCACCACTTTCCCCTGCCTCCCAAGTGATCCCATTTTTAAATTCTCTTTCTGCCATCTGTATTTCCTCATGGATGAAGCAGTAGCCTGCCCAGGTTTCCTCAGGATTATTTGAAGTGATGTCATTCTCTATTTCTCAGTATGAGTACAAGCAGTCATTTTTGGATTTTCTTAACATTTTCTAATGTTTAGCTAAATTTGTTCATATTACATTCGTACACGTTTGGAGATGATTTTTGATAATTGTGTAAGAGACACACACACACAGACAAGCATTAAATACTGAGTCTTGTATCTAGCCATTACTAAGGAACTGCAGTCAACTATCCTTTTCTCCCAAGAGAGTCCATAGCTTAAGATGGTCATGTTTTGTATCAGGTGAGAGGTGGCATCCTTCAAGGTGCACTCTGATACCACATCTAAAGTCATCAATGTAGCTCCCAACTGTTGGTCTGTGATCTCATCTCAAATCAGGTAATACAACTAGGTGACATAAAAACAACACTTTAAACTCAACTTTTCTCCCAAGCACAGAAAGAAGGCAGTTGTTTGGCCATTCTTGGAGTGACTTGGGGGCTCATCCTATTCTGGATTATTCTAAAAAGGACAAGACATTTATTTATTGGTCATATCAGAAAATTTGCCTAATGAACTCTTTCTAATCATTGCTAATCATTGATGTTTTGGATGCTGTCAAAAGTCATCAAACGTGCCCTGGCTGGTGTGACTCAGTGGATTGAGCACTGGCCTGTGAACCAAAACATCACCTGTTTGATTCCCTGTCAGGGCATATGCCTGGGTTGTGGGCCAGGTCCTTGGTTGGTGGTGTGCTAGAGGCAACCAATCTATTTATCTCTTGTACATCGATGTTTCTCTCCTTTTTCTCCCTCCATTCCACTCTCTCCAAGGAATAAAATCTTAAAAAGTCATCAAACTTGTAATAGTTAAAAGTGATTTCCTTTTAATCCCATGCAGCTTTACACCATTCTAACTCAAGTTCAAATTCTCTGCTTATGATGTTGAAGCTACAGCTGCCAGAGCCTTTGCCACCACCAGCCTCCTCCTGGATTGGAAGGGATGGGAAGGAGAGTCTGGAACAGGACAGGGTAACTGCTCATTCCTGAGTAAAGAGGGAGATGATTACTGGAGCTTTCTTAGCTCTAGCGTTTTCCTCAAATCTGACCAAAGAAAGACAGCAGTGGTCTCTTAGCCCCTACTGCTTCCACACTATCTGCTTTTCACATTCCCGGAAGTCTAGGGTGCAGCAACAGAAAACAATTGTCAGGGATACTGCAGGTATAGATTTTCTTCTGGTTCTGATTTTAACTGTTCTGACCATTGCTACTCATTTTACTGTCTGATTATCCCTTATATTTCCCTCTTCCTCCATGTGCTTTATAATGTTTGTCTTTTGTGCTCAGATTAACACTACTTAGTGTTTCAGTCCTCCTTTTTTGTTTTTTTGAGATCTCTTTCACATGGAAACCTGATCATATACCTGTTTAATACTTGCAGTGGCTACGTATTGCCCTCAGGATAAAATTCAGGCTCTTAGCATAGCTCAAAGGCCTCTCAGTTTATTCCTAGGCCCCATTAATCATCATCATCTCTAACCACCCCTCTGCCATCACCACAACCACCACACACAGACTTGTGTGCACATATGTATGCACACACATGCGCTCACACACACACACAGTTCCTAGTTTAGTACCTGCAGTTCCGAAATGCATGGGAATGAATCACTCCCTCTAAACCAAAGGTGATTTTATGATTTAGCCACCAAACAGGGTAGTTTTGAAAGTGAAAGGGTGTGCTTTTATGAATAATGCCAGGACAACTGCATAGATCTGAATGGGTTTAAACCCCTCCTTAGTCTAGCTAATTTCTACAGTTTAACAGCAAAAGCCCTAGCAGACCTTCCCTGAACTTCTTAGATTGGGTTGCCAGTGGGGTGACTTTTACCCTCCAAGGGATGTTTGATAATGTCTGGAGGGGTTTTTAGCTGTCACCTTGGGGGTGGGAGAAGGGGTAGGTAATGCTACTGGTAACTAGTTGGCCAGGGGTGCTGCAAGACATCCTGCAATACATACTAGCTATATTGGTTTGCTAAGGCTGCCATAACAAAGTACCATAAACTGAGTGGCTTAAGCAACAAAACTTTCTTTTTATTCTAGTTCTGGAGGCTAGAAGTCCAAGGTCAGTGTTTTGTCAGGATTGTTTCAAAGATCCTATCACCAAATATAGTCACCTTCTGAGGTGCTGGAGGTTAGGACTTCAACTTACAAATTTAGACATGGGGGACACAATTCAGCCCATAACAATAGGACAGCTCCCACTCCCCTGCCCTGCAGAAACTGATCCCATCTCCTCACTGTGGGGAGGTTGGTGATCCTTTAACATGTTAGTGTCACTCTGCATATACGGATGTGCTAATACTTCTTTTCACACACTGCCTTCCAGACTCCCCTGTGGGACTGCTGAACTTGAGGGCATTGGCTTTGACTCTTATTTATCTTGTATCGTCAGTGCCTAGTACAGTGTTAAGATCTTGAATAAATGTTACGTTCCAGCAGGGCAGTGCCATTGAATGGTTCACGGTCATATTACCAGCATGAAGCCTAGTGCCTGGTAGGTGCTCAATGAATATTTGCTGAATGAATGAATAGTGAATACGGAAGTTTCTCTACAGGCAAACATTTGATTTAGGAACCAGTAGCTGTCTCATGATCCTCATTCTTTTTTTATTTTTTTTAAAGATTTTATTTATTTACTTGTAGAGAGAGGGGAAGGGAGAGAGAAAGAGAGCGAGAGAAACAACAATGTCTGGCTGCCCCTCATGCGCTGCCCACCTGGGGCCCGGCCCGCAACCCAGGCATGCATCGTGACTGGGAATTGAACCAGTGACCTTCTGGTTCGCATGCCCACGCTCAATCCACTGATCTACACCAGCCAGTGCTCTTTCTGTTTTTTAAAAAAATTTATGTATTTTTTTAGAGAGGGATGGAGGGAGGGGGAAAACAGGAGAAAAAAGAGGGAGAGAAACATCGATTGGTTGCCTCTTGCGGACCCCCAACCAGGGATCTGGCCCACAACCCCCTCTAATGTGCCCTAACCTGGAATCCAAGCAGTGACCTTTTAGTTTTTGGGACAGTTCTTTTTCTTTTTCTTGACCCACCTTTTCCTTCTGCCTTAACTTGGCTTAACCTCTCCCCCCAACTTTACCCCCTCTTTCTTCCAGTTGTCACAGGATGGGTTAGGGGTTATGAGGCAGCACTTGAGATTGTAAAGCAGCTCCCTCAGCTTCACTTTTTGACAGAGTGAAGTTAGCAGTCTGCTTCATGCACAAAGAGCAGTTGAGTAGATGTGTCTGTTGGCCTTTCCTCCTAGCTGCTGATGCAAGAGGCCTGAAAGCAGGCAGGATATATGGCCACCTGCCATGTACTTTGATTCCTTTCAGGTTGTCTGCTCTCTGGTGAACAGAGGTTCTGGTACGGGGCCTTTTAATCTTGTATGTCTATATATGTGTATTATTTTTAGGAGAGAGGGACAGTGCTTCTATACTTCTGATACTGAGAGATGTGTGACTCAAAAGACTGAGAACCATTTTGTTAACACAGTGGTTCTCAAACTTGAGCAGTGGATGTAACCATCACATGGAAGGATTGTTACACCAAAGTTTCTGATTCAGGTCTGAGGTGGGGCCTGAAAATTTGCATTCCAACAAGCTGATGCTGTTCTTCCAGGGAACATACTGAGTGCCACCCTACCCTGTTAGCAGACATTCAAGGTTGCTTGGTAGAGGGAAAGAACCTGGAGAGCATTAAAAGGGACAGTGTATGAAAATACCTGCCCTGTGATGAGTCCTCAAACAGTGTTATGGGAGCTAAGTCCCTTTTATTTTTATTTACTTTTTTTATTTTTGATTTTGAGAGTATGTTTATGAAAGCTGGGGACAGTGAAACAAAGGAAGGGCTTTAAGGCTGAAGAAGCAACAGGAGGGAGAAAGTCAGAGAACAGGCCTTGGAGACAGGTTCAGGTGGGTAAGGCCAGGATGACCTGCTGCTGCCCGCTGCTTCCCTGGTTTCAGGTGAAGGAGGAAGATGGGTAGAGGCATGGGCATGCTCTAGGGAGAGGAAAGTGTGGGTTCTTTGTTTTGAGGCTTTTTATCTTCTTTGGCCAGCTGGAATCCTAGGGGAGGTCTCAGGGAAGGGTCTTAACAGACTATTAGCTTTTTTGGTGTGTCCTTCTATATGCTGATTCATCAAAATGTGCATATAGAGGGGGCCAGGAGTTATTTTCTGGTTATTTTCTTTTTTGTTTATAGTGTAAGTTTTTATTGTTTTCTTCCCATTAACATTTATCCCCCAGTACACCCTTTCCCACCTCCACCTTCCCCCACCCCTGCACCACAGAGCTAAGTCCCTTTTTATTATTTTTTTAAAGGTTTCATTTATTTACTTTAAGTGAGAAGGGGAAGGGAGGGAGAAAGAGAGAGAGAGAAACATTTATGGGTTGCCTTTCACTTGTGCCCTGACCAGGGAATGAACCTGCCACCCAGACATGTGCCCTGACCAGTAATTGAACCGGCAACTTTTCACTTTGCAGGACAATGCCCAGCCAACTGAGCCACACTGGTCACGGCACTAAGTCCCTTTTTAATTATCTTCAGGTGCAGCCCCCACTGTTTGTTTGGTGGTTTAATGAGGCTACAGAGGTAGTGTAACCTAGCAGGATCAGCCCCACCAAGTTTAATATTGACATTGTCTTACATTCTTTTTATACAGTGGCCTTAGCTGTTTTTGAAGTATAGTGAGTTTGGTCTCCATTGGGCTTGGAGGAGAATAGGCCCTAAAGTTGTGACTGTTTGCTCATTCACAGGTATAACCTGGCTGGTTGTTTATTCACAGTCGCCATTTGTTGAACATGTTCCCAGAATGATTTTCTTTCCTTTTTTTCTTTTTTAGGAGTAAAAAGTTACCCCTTTGTTTGTACTGCCTCTTTCCACATGAGTACCCCTTTGGCCAAAGAGGATTATTACCAGATATTAGGAGTGCCCCGAAATGCCAGCCAGAAAGAGATCAAGAAAGCCTATTACCAGGTCTGTATGGAAGCCAGATTTTAGAGACAAGATTGTAGAAGGAATACTACTGATCTAATCTGATCCTGATCAGTGCAGTGTGTATGCCTATACATGTAGGACACAGGCAGCTGACAGTATGGAATGATATGTGAAAGATGGGTTTTGTTGGATTGTGTTTTTCAGTGCATGATACCGTACCCACTAATGCTTCAGAAAAGAGGAGGGAGTTGGAACCAGAGATTAAAAAAATATTTTTCCACAACTGTTTTTGTATTTAGACTTATTCTGCACTGTCTGAATTAGTAGGCATGCTGGTTTAAGTTTTAGGTAGTTATTCTTTGCATTCAGGTAAAAGTTTATGGACTTAGAATTATTTCTTCTCTTAACTCAGAAAGTGTGAAGTTCCCATCATTATATCCCAGAATGTAGTCAGGCTAGATATTTAGACCAGTGGATCCCAGATTTTTGCTCTGATCACCAAAATAAAAATTAAAATAAAAAGTGAGGGCACCAGTGTAGGATTGGCAGCTTTTGTATATTGCCTAAAATAGATGTTAAAAATAACAAGTACAATATATTAATGTCATTGGTAAAAGAAACAACATTTAAACACCATAAAAATAGGGAAGCCATACTGTCAGAATAAAGGAGATCTTTTAAATCAAACATGAATTAAATACAAAAATTACCTTTATGAAAAATTTACTGTAAGATTTTTGAATTTAAAAATAATTTTTTTTGTGGATTAGCAAAACCTTTGTCCAAGGCCAATATTTGTGAACCAAGTACTGGTCAAGACCAGACCTGACAGCTTATGCCGTAGGCATCTACTCTTTCCTCCTACTTTTTAAAAAAAAGTATACTGTTCACTGGTTTTTAGTATATTTAGAGTTGTAAAATTATCACCATCAATTTTAGAACGTTTCAACAACCAAAAAGAAACCCCATACCATGAGCATGTAGACCCCATTCTCTCTCTGCCCTTGCAGTTGTGAACCTGCTTTCTGTCTCTATGGATTTGTCGATTGTAGACACTTCATAGAAATGAAATCACACAATATATGGTCTTTAGTGACTGTCTTCTTTCACTTTAGCATGTTTTTGAAGTTCATGTTGTAGCATGTGTCAGTATTTCATTTCTTTTCTGGTCAAATAATATTGCATTGCATAGATATGCTTCATTTTATTTATCCATTCATCAGTTGGTGGATATTTGGATTGTTTCCTTATTTCCACTTTTTTGCTATTTTAACTAGTGATGCTGTGAACATCCATGTGTAAGTTGTGTAGACCTATGTTTTCATTTCTCTTGGGTGTATGTACGTACACATAGGAATAGAATTGTTGGGTCAAATGAAACTCTGTGTTTAACCTTTTGAGGAACTACTAGACTGTTTTCCATAACAGCTGCACCATTTTACATTTCTACCAGCAGAGTATGAGGCTTCCAATTTCTCCACATCCTGGCCAATACTATTACGCCTTTTTGATTCTAGCCACCCTAATGAGTGTGAAGTGGTGTCCCAGTATGGTTTTCGATTTGCTTTTCCCTGGTGGCTAATGGTGTTGAGTAGCTTTTCATATGATTATCAGCCATTTGTTGTAAATGTATTCAGATCCTTTGCTTTTTATTTATTTAAGTTAATCTTTTTATCACTGGGTTGTAATGGAATGGGCAAAGGCAAGGGGGAAGAAAGCAGAGATCCTGGCTTGGGAAGAGTGAATAGCATGTCCCTTTTGAGCTGGAGGTTAAGGTACCTGATGCAAGGGTGAAGGTAGCTTGAAAAGGTGGAGGCTGCAGCCAAATTACTGGGGCATTTGAGGCCCTTAGCAAGTGGTAGAGAATTACAAAGTCTGTTCAGAGGGTATCCAGCCATGTAACATGAAAAATAGAGACATTTTTTAAGGAAGATACAAAATACAAGAAACATTGTACATAGAACAATGATGTCTCAGTCCCTTTCAAAGTAGACACCTTGGGACTTCACACAATTCTCCCAGTCGCTATCAGCTGCCCCGTCATATTTTCCTGAATCTCACTGACAGCCTGAAATCTCTTTCCTTTCAAAAGTGATTTTAGTTTTGGGAAAAGCCAGAAGTCTCAGGGTGCCAAATCTGGGCTGTAGGGGGACTGAGTCACCTGGGTGATTTGATGTTTCGCCAAAAAACTCTGCATGAGACGTGATGCATGAGTGCGCACATTGTCATGATGAAGCTGCCAATCACCAGTTGCCCATTGCTGCAGCTTTCTGAATCATCTGAATAGTTTCCATAGAGGAATGTTCAAACAATGCAAAATTTGATGCACATTTGTTCTTCTACTCATTCAGTCATCTCAAATATGAGGGCCACGCAGTACACAAGCTCACTCAACACCATCTACTGCCCCCACTGACTAGTACAGTGAAGTCATCATTGTTCACGCATGCACATTTCAGTCCACTTTCCTTGGCTGCCAGGTTACATCATGTCACGCAAACCGTTCTTGCTGTATTAACAATGGCTGGACTTTTTCCGAACAGACCTTGTAATTTAAAAGAAAGTAGGCAACCATTCAAGCTTTTAGATATGTAAATAAAAAGATCAGGTAAAGCTGTGCAATTTAAAACTGGAAATTTTTAAAGTTGCCTTTGTGGAACAACTACTGGAGTCAGATCTTGATGAAGCTTTATGGGTGTTACGTCATTTAATTCTCGTGGCAAGAGGCTTTGGAAGGTTATGACACACATCCTAAGCCACACAGCTATTGTGTGGCATATATAAGACTAAAAGTACAGGTCTTTCAGACTGCAAAACACCTGTCTTCTCCTTGTGCTGATCTCATGTTTCAGCATATCTTGTCTTAGAGTTGGGGATCAGCCAATAGACAGACATAGCTTGCCTTGGCTTGGAACCAGCCTTGCCTTGTATCTCACTGTGATCTACTGGCCATGCTTGAGATGACTGCCCCCCGCCCTGTCACCCTCATCCCCACTTCAGTGCTTAGCTTGCAGCCTCTCGTGTGAGGACCAGCATCTCCAGAAGTAGACTAAGCAGCCAACTCCTGGCAATGCTGGAGCCAAAGGGCCTATCAAGTCTCTGTCAGCTTTAGGAGTCTGTTTCTGTGCACCTCCTTGCCCTCACATAAAGGACTTGTGGTAATTCAGACTTAGAAGCCCCAGGAATTGCAGCAAACAGTGGTGAACACCTGCAAAGCACACAATACTCCTCAGACAGAAGGTAGCCTTCATTTTAGAGCTGCTTAGCACACCTGTGTGCTCTGAACAGCCAAGTGAGATTTAGTTTTGTTTTTAATATTTAAATCTGTTTTGAATGATAATATATTTCCCTTGTTCAGAATTCAAAAAGTACAAGTTAATGTCATTGTACAAAAAGTGCAACGACAAGTATTCCTCTTTCCCATTCATCCATATCCCTCCTGTAGCACAGTGTTACCAGTTTATTGTATATTCTTCAAAAATAATTTAAATCTGTCCAGTTATTTTCCTCTTTTTCTACATAGATTAAAGTGTACCAGATACACTATTTTGCATCTTTCACAAAGGTGCCCACGTTCTAAAGAATTAGTTATTTTTGGTAGAGATTTGTTGTGGTTGAAAAATGTGTACATACCTCAGATTTGAAGAGATGGTTTATTAATGTCTTAAACCTTTTTTTAGGAATTTCTATTGTTTGTAAAGTCTTAGCTTCTATAAAGAAGGCGAAATTGTGACTGGTATTTGGGGTTCAGTTTTGTAATCCTTTTGTGCTCATAGTAAATTACCATTTCCTCCCATAGCTTGCCAAGAAATATCACCCAGACACGAATAAGGATGATCCCAAAGCCAAGGAGAAGTTCTCCCAGCTGGCAGAAGCCTATGAGGTAACATGACCCACTGGTGTGTGCACTCACTGTCATTCAGCTGTATGCATGTATCAGAGTATGCTGCACAGGGCAACCTGACATGTCATGAGGTCCAGTACAAAGGCTGTGTCTGCACAGCCCTCATTAAAGAAAAAAGATTCCCAGGTCTTAGGCTAGATCTTACTTCTTGGAATCTCAATGAAAAACAGGATTCAATCTTTGTTAACAGAGCTTGGACTTGTGGCCAGGTCTGGGAATATCTTGTTGGATTAATTCCACATCTATTTGATTACCCCCTCCTACTTAGGGTATTGCTGTCTTGTGGGGATGGTAGTCCTGTAAAAGTAGACTACCACCACTGCCCTGAAGAAACTTAAAATGGTAATCAGAAGGAGGAAACATACATGAAACAGCGACTGAACAATTGGAACTTCTTCCCAGACTTTGACCATTCCAAAGGGGTTCAGGATATATAGGGTATCATATATATGCTCTTTGTGTGTGTACATTCCCCCATGAGTACTTGACAGTAAGTCACAGACTTTGTATCTCTTTATTCTTAAGTATTTCTGTATTTTCTAAGAGCAAGGACATTCTTTTCTATAACTACAGTACAGTTGTCAAAATCAGAACATGTAATGTTGGTGCAGTACCATTTTTTGGCACTTGGTGTCTGTGTCCCTGGGCCTCGGGAGCCCCAGGACCACCTGACTGCTATGCCTTTTGTGTAAGGTGCTGAGCGATGAAGTGAAGAGGAAGCAATATGATACCTATGGCTCTACTGGCTTTGATCCTGGGGCTGGTGGCTCCGGGCAGAGCTACTGGAAAGGAGGCCCCACTGTTGACCCAGAGGAGCTCTTCAGGAAGATCTTTGGGGAATTCTCATCGTCATCTTTTGGAGATTTCCAGAGTGTATTCAGTCAGCCTCAGGAGGTGAGCTTATTTTAAAGAACCATTCAAATTGTAGCTGCTAAGCATGATGCAGTCAGATTTTATCAACTTCTTTTTCTCAAAGAAAAAGGCAAAACAGCTTACATGGAATCATCTTGTGGCAGCCATTTTGGTAAAAAATCATTGCAAAATTTGAAAAAGTATATAGGTAATAATGTATACATCCATTTTGACTGGAGTCTTATAGTTGCTTAACCAGGCAGAACATAAAGCTTTCAGAGTTCATCATTAGGGTGTAATTTATCGAGAGCTGCTACATTATTCCAGGAGAGCTCAATCTAGTAGGGAGACATCCCAATCCTACTTCTTCCATATTTATATCATAATAAGATCTTAACAGATTTGAAGAGAGAGGAGGAATATTTATGATTTAAGTTATGATTGTGGATCATTTGACCTGTTCGTAAGAACTGTATACAAGTATTATCTGTGAACAGTTTGTTGAAATGTACATTTTTACTTAAACATTACTGTCAAAAATCCTAACAAGTAGGGCATAAATAATTAAGTGAGTCCTATCTATTCTTACTTGTCAAAGTAGAAGAAAGTAAATCAGTTAAAAAGTAACTAGGGAGGAGGTGAATAGGCAGCAGAGAGGATTTTTAGGGCAGTCAAAATACTCTGTATGCTTATATAATGATGTATACATGTCATTATGCATTTGTGTAGACTCATAAAATGTACAACAACAAGAGTGAACCCTAATGTAAACTGTGGGCTTTGAGTGATTATGATGTGTCAACGTAGGTTTATCTTTGATTTAAAAAAATGTACCACTCTGGTGAGTGATGACGGGAGAAGCTGTACATGAGTGGGGGTAGGAGATATGTCGGAAATTTCTGTAACTCCCTCTCAATTTTGTCATAAACCAGAACTCTAAAAAATAAAGTCTTTAAAAGTAAAGTAACTACAAACTGCTGGCTAGTTCCTCCCCTACTTTAAGAAAGATAACAGGCCATCCCTTGATTTCTTTAGTACATCATGGATTTGACATTCAATCAAGCTGCCAAGGGTGTCAACAAGGAGTTCACTGTGAATATCACTGACACCTGTGAGCGGTGTGATGGCAAGGGGAATGAGCCTGGCACCAAGGTGCAGCACTGCCACTACTGCGGTGGCTCCGGCATGGTAAGAGCAAGTTAAAGCCGCCTCCCCCCACACCCCCCTCCCTTCCTGCTTTCCCAGAGGACTCCCACCTCATGCCCACTCCTCCCCACCATTCCTTATTTCTGTGCTTCTGCAGATATTTTTTGAGCAGTACCTAGGACTTTGAGAATCCATAACTAGGTGGGACTATTTTACCTAGAACATTTTGTATTGTTCCAGGATTTCTCTGTCTTGGTCAACAAGACAGACAAAGGAAACTTAGCTTCCTTCTCTAAAAATACACTTTGGGATATATTGATAATTTGAAACCAACCAGGGATTGTCAGGGGACACTTAACTTTGTTTGAAGTGTAATCATTTTTTCTTTTGTTAACTCGGTGAATTAATTCAACGTTATAGAACAGTGTGAAGAACCAGTCCCTTAGTCCTTTTACCCAGGTTCATCAGTTAATATTTTTTGTTAAAAAAAGTCCTATTTTCTTTGTCATTTGAAAAAAATTTTTAATAGTTCATTTTTTATTGTATTTTTTCCATTACCATTTATCCCCCCTAAACCCTCTTCTGCTTTGTCATTTTTCGTGTGCTCAATCTCGGCCCCTCCCCCTCCCTGTGTACGTTTTCTGTTTGTGTCTGCATGCACATGCACACACATTTTCCCAACCATTTGAGAGTAAGTTGCAAACATTCTATTTCTTTATTCCTTTATACTTCAGTGTGTGTTTTCTAAGAACAAGAACATTTTCCACATAACCACAGGACAGTTGTCGAAATCAAAAAATTTAATGTGGATACAATACCGTTATCTATACTGAATTAGTTCTTTTCTTCCCTGATATAGGATCCAAACTGGGATCTTGTGTAGCCTTTGTTTATTGATCTTTTGTCTCCTTTAATCTGGAACAGTTCCCCAATCTTTCTTTTTCTTTTATGTCCTTGACATTTTTCTTAGGATTACAAGCAAGCTATTTTGTTCAATTTCCCTCATTTTGGTTTCATACCTCAAAGGTATAGTGCCCTTTCCAGAGGATCATGTCAAGAGTTTTAAAGTGTAAGTTTGTCCGTTTAGTGATGATCTTACATTTGATTGCCATCAATTAGTTAAGGTAGTATCTGCCTGGATTTCTCCATGTAAAGTTATTTTCCCTTTGAAATTAATAACAATGTTGCAGTGAGCCTGCATTCCTCTGAGAGAGGACTGTCTTGGAGAGGATGAGGATTCTGTAGCTACAGTTCTGTGAGTCCAGTTACTCCTACTTGTCACAGATATTTAGGTATTTTTTATTGATTGTTCCTAGTTCCCTCCAACTTCTAAGGTCCTTTCTCTGAGGCTTTGAATTGATGTGAATTTTTTCCTAACATTTCTGAAGCGAACATTGAGGTAAGATAATAAAGCTAAAGTGTAGTTCTCTCAAAATGCAATGTTTAAGACTAGGAAAAATATTTGCAACTCATTTGCTAAAGGATTAGTATTCCTAGTATATAAGGGGCTCCTTCAGAAAAGTGAGAGAAAGACCAACAGCTCATGAGAAAAATTGGTCAAGATGAACAGAAGAGGAAATGCAAGTGGCCAGTAAACATTTCCCACTCTCAATCAGGGAAACAGTTACATTGTGCACATTGTGGTCCCAAAGCCTTGGCTGTCAGAATTTACCTGAGTACTTAAGGGTTCCATTTTTTTTTTCTCCTTTTGATCAGGAAACTATAAATACAGGCCCTTTTGTGATGCGTTCCACGTGTCGGAGATGTGGTGGCCGAGGCACCATCATTACATCTCCCTGTGTGGTATGCAGAGGAGCAGGACAAGCCAAGCAGAAGAAGAAAGTGGTTATCCCTGTGCCTGCAGGTGGGTTCTGGGCTCCTCCACACACAGGAGACTGAGAGCTGAGACTTTGTTTCCTTGTGATTTAGCCAAAGCAAATGTTAAGGCCCTGGAGCCCCAGACTAGAGGAGGAACTAGAATCTCCTTGTAGGTTTCTCTTTGCACTAGTTATCCTTAAAATCTACACTTACACATCACTTTGGAGAGAAGGGACCTGACATGTCCACTCTTTCCCATGCATGGTGAAGGAGCTCCTCCATCATTTCTATCTTCAGTTCCCAAGGCCAGCATTGTCCCCACTGCCAGCCCAGTCTGTATCCCCACCCTCCTCCTAGATGCCAGGGAAGCCTGTGACGGCTCGCTCCAACTGGCTTTTGTTCCCAGAGTTCTCTTTCCACAGGGCAGTCTGATCACCTCACTCACCCTGTTGAAAGCTCAGCAGTGACTCTCAGGGGACAAGAAAAGGCCTCTTCTCTGGGCTCCTGCTGGCCTCTTCAGCCTTCCCTCTTATTAGCCTTCCCCCTTATGAGCCTTCCCCTTGCAACCTTCATTACTTTCCTGTAGCTCCTTGAGTGGGACAGAATGCCTCCCAGAAGAGAGCCTTTTCGTATGCTGTTTCCTGTGTCTAAAACATGTTTTCTTTTGTCTTAGCAGTTAACTTTGTTTTTATGGGCTTCCTCAGGGAAGCCACCTGGAATCCTTCCTGTCCCTTAGATGTATCTTAGTTTGAGTTGTGATTTCTTCCTTCTGAGAACATGGCTCTGTTTGTAATGACATATTATTAGTGTTGTTATTTGATTACTATTTGTTTCCACTACTGGACTGGATACTCCCTGAGGTACTACTTGGACCTGGCAAGAGGTAGGTGTTCAGCAAACTTGAATTAATTAGTAGAAGGTGCTCTTGTTTGGTTATTGTATGGTGCACCTTTGAAAATTTATACTTGTTGCCATATTGGGTAGTTGTGTTGTTCCTCATTATCAAGAAACAGGAATGAGTAAGGATCCAGAGTAGAAAATGCCTTGGGAGATATCCAAATGACTGTTTTCCTTTGAATCTTTGTTTTCACAGGAGTCGAGGATGGCCAGACTGTAAGGATGCCTGTAGGAAAAAGAGAAATTTTCATCACGTTCAGGGTAGGTACTCTGCCTTCACAGCCTCTATTGGAGCCTTTCTCTCCTGGAGAAAGGGCAGCCAAGACTCGTCATGGAGAGAGGTGTAATCTTCGTGGGGCACATCCTGCTCTCCACATTTCCAAGGGGAACAATGGTCATCTTGGTGGGGTTATTAAATATGTCACCATCAAGTTTGTGTGCTAGGTGTGGAGAGAACAAAGTTGCTTCAAGATGTTTCCAAGTTGGAAACAAAAACACATAAAAATACAGAAAACATCTACCTGTGGGTTTTTTTTTAAATTTATTTTCTTTATTTTTTCAAATACATTTGTCTCTGCCTTCCCCCCACCACCTTCCCCTGCCTCCTCTCTCCTCCCTTCCTCAATCCTTCTCCCTATGTTTTTATTTATGTATTAAATTTTTAGTAGGCGTAATAAGTGCCAGGGATAGAGTTTTACCGACTATATACAAGGGGAAACCTTAAAGAAGGTAACAGCTTCTATTGGCAATTCCACTAGATAAATACCTCAGAACAGCCTACACAGGTGCAGCAGGCAGAGGCACAAGTTGTTTGTGACAGCCTCATTCATAGTAGCAAGACATTGATAACAACCTGCTGCCCTTGGACAAGAGAATGGTGGGGTGAACTGCACTATGGTCACAGAGGACCACAGAGTAGTCAGAAGAGAGAAACTGGACCACATGTGTAATGAGACTTGTCAGTTACAAGGAGGAGAGAAAGAAAGGTTGCAAGAGGATGCAGGGAAGATCATTTACATAAACTTTTAAGCGATGTTATATATATTGCTTAAGGACATGTAAATATGTAGTAAAAGTTCAAAGATGCCTGTAGGAATGATAAATACTAGGTCCAGCAATGTAGTTATCTCTGAGGGGGTGAGGAGGAAGCAAGGAGATTTCACCTGAATTCATAACATCTTATTTGTAGCTTTATATATTTACTTTGCAATTTATGTACATGTGAAATATTTCATAATTAAAAAAAGATGAAAATCTAAAGGATGAACCTTCTAAACTGAGAAATCAAAGACAAAGATAGCAAGCTGGAAGCCAATCAATGAGAATAGTTTGGTAGAGAATTCGGATTCTATCTCCATCTAATAGAGAAGAAAAAATAGAAATCACTGGAAGGCAAGGAATGTCTTTGAGATACAACAAATAGTGCTTATTAAAAAAATCAAAATAATTCTAGTGTTTTCAGTCTGTCTTAAAGGTAGTTTGTGCTAAATAATCATTTGGAAAACCATTTTGACTGTAGATGTGTTAGTCTGTATTCCTCTTTACTTTCTAGTAAGATTTTTTTTTAATGTTGAAGGAGCCAGTTTTACTCTATTTTTGTTTAGAATTGAGTGGCTGGATTTGAACCTGAGGAAATCTAGACACTCTTGCATTGCAGTATAGAAATGAATCTGACATGTAACCTGGCATAGCGTTTCAGTTTGGTGAAAGTACACTCTATCCCTCACTGCGATGTTCCAAGCATAGAAATAGGGCAACGTGTGTCAGGCCCAAAGCTCAGGCTGCTGAGATGTGGCGCTGATGTCCAGTCTCCAGAAAGACCTCTTTGTGCATAATGCCTATCTCTTATGTTTGGCCCTAGGTGCAGAAAAGCCCCGTGTTCCGGAGGGATGGCGCAGACATCCACTCTGACCTCTTTATTTCTGTAGCTCAGGCTGTCCTCGGGGGGACAGCCAGAGCCCAGGGCCTGTATGAGACAATCAATGTGACGGTAAGAGGGCAAGATTATCTTTGCCACCTTCACACCTAATTGCTTTTTTCCCCCTCCACTGAAATGGAAAATTGCTTACAAGTGGCTACAACCTGTAAATAACCAATGTGTTGGGGATTCAGGGAAAACGAGATTTAGGGGAGGCAGGAAGAGTATCTGGCCATTCCTTGGGTTTGAGTTGCAGCAATCCCTGAGTTTCATCCCCTCTTTTGCTGAGCCAGGGAGCAGCCTCAGCAGTGCACTCCTGTGCTGGCGTTGCCACTTTTCAGGTCTGGCTCTCCATGCTCCCATGTTGGCTTACCTTACCAAACCACCTGCCCCTAAATCCTTGTTAGAGCTCTGCTCAGGGTGAACCCCAGCTTAGCCAGCCTCCATGTGGTTGTTGGCGGGTTCTGTCTAGAAATCCAAATGAGTAACTGGAGATCAAGGAAATCCATAGGTTTTCTCTCCTTATAGATCCCCCCTGGGATCCAGACAGACCAGAAGATTCGGATGAGTGGGAAAGGCATCCCCCGGATTAACAGTTATGGCTATGGAGATCACTACATTCACATCAAGATCAGAGTTCCAAAGTAAGCACCCACATAGCCATGGCAAGGCCTGCTGGATCCTTTCACACTTTCACCATCAAGCAGGGACCAGTTGAGGGCTTTTTACTTTCCAGTTCCTGTGCTAAGTGTGGCAGGGTTTAGCACCACCAGACCACCTAGTCCCACTGTGGCTCTACCACTTGAAGTGCTGAGGCTCAGTCAGGCTACCTTTAAGTCAGTGTGTCCTGCCCAAGTTCTCCATATGCAAAGTGGACATAATGAAAAAAAGGTTGACTTCCTTGAGTTGGAGAATTAAGTAATACATAGAGAATGCTTAGCTGTTACTGCAATTGATTTGATTATTATTGCTCTCAGGGTGCTCAGCCTGGTGGGAGGGGCAGATTTATAACCAGGTCATGGCACAGGATATCTGCGTCCAGTGGTAGAAAGATCTGAAGTGAGTGCTGTGGGCATCTAGAATAGACATGCTGACTCTGTTTGGGAGACCTAGGTTTCCAGAATTCCTTTTAATTTCCTGCACACACACATATACACTTACAAAATCTTCCTTCCCACCCCCTCCTCTGCTCCCAGTAAATTATTTCGCACAGCCATAGTAGCAGTTGTTTAAAACAACTTAGAGTATTTTAGGAGATTTTCTTTACAGAAGTTTTAAGAGTGTGGCTCTGAGGGTCAGGTTGTGCACTCTGCCAGTGTCAGGGTCCCATATTTCCTACACTGACTCAGGCCTCATCATTTAAAGAGCTGCCCAAAGGAAACACTTTACACTGACTGTGCTTGCTCCACAGGAGACTGACAAGTCGGCAACACAGCCTGATGCTGAGCTATGCTGAGGATGAGACGGATGTGGAGGGGACCGTGAATGGCGTCACCAATACAAGCACTGGTAAGGTGGCATGGTGGCACATGGGCATCCTCAGTCCCTTGGAAGCATGTTGGGGTTTCCACTTGAGGATCTCCATGGAACCTTCAGAGAGCACAGTAGAAAGAGAGAAGGTGAGGGCTCAAACAGCCAAGTATAAAGTGTAGCTGCGCTCCAGAGCACAGCTGCTTCTCCTTCCTCTGTGTTGAGAGTGCTAGATTGCTTCTCTATGTGTCAGAGAGCTGCCCTTCTGAGTTCTATCCTTGGTTCTGCCACTTGCTTAGGCACATCATCATGTGAGAGTTCCTTCTAACAGCTTAAGAAAATGAATTGGAAGGCTTTATGCATTCCTGACTTAGAACACTTCTCCAAGATTTCAGAGTGTCTCATAAATAACATCTACAATAATTAAAAAAAAAAAAAAGGCATGGTCATATGACTCCATATCTGTTTATTCCCAGGAGGTCTAATTTTTAATTCTTCTGGCAATAAACAGATGCCTTATTTACCCTGAGCTCAAACGTCATGCTCTATCTACAGTGTATAGTTAAATATAGTGATATTTGATACCAAAATGCTTGCAGGCAGAAGCTTTGGTGATGAGAAACCTCAGCTACAGCCCTCTTCCCATGGGAGGGTGTTGCTCTGCTGTGGGGATGCTAGTTCTCTGTCAGCTGGATGACTGTTGGGTCAGGACAGGCTATACCGAGAGTATAATTGGCTTCAGCAGCACAGCATGTTTCCTCTTTGTTATATCATTTTGTTTTTGTCTGGGTCCTAGATGCTCTTCTTATATTTTTCAGAACTTGAATAGTAGTAAGTTCTACTATCTGTAGTAAGTAGTAAGTATATGGTCATTTAGAGCAGGTGATCAGAGGAGGGGTGGATTTCTCAGTGAAGGGGCTTAGTCTTGGATTCTCACACCCCAACCCACCCGGCAGGGAGCGGTGTCCCAAAAGCAGCAGGCTTTGCATGAACTTTTCTGAACTTCTATTGAGTTTAGGGGACCAAGTCCTTTGTGAAAAAATAGCCATGCCCTGGCTGAGTGGCCCAGTTGGTTGGAGCCTCATCCCATGTACTAAAAGATTGTGGGTTCCTTTTTTTTTTTCTTTTTTTAAAAATAATTTATTTGTTTATTTTTGGAGGGGTTAGGGAGAGAGAAAAAGAGGGAGAGAAACATCAGTGTGAGACATATATTCATCAGTTGCATCTTGCACGCCCCCAGGTGGGGACCTGGTCCACAGCCCAGGCATGTGCCCTGACTGGAATTCGAACTGGTGACCTATAGGTTCATGGGCTGGCCCTCAGTCCACTGAGCCACACCAGCCAGGGCAGATTGTGGTTTCTATTCCTAGTCAGGGCACATAGCTAGCTTGTGAGTTTAATCCCCAGTTGGGGTATGTATGGGAGGCACCAACTGGTGTTTCTCTCTCTTTCTCCCTTTCTCTCGATCTCTAAAATCAATAAACATGTTCTTGGGTGAGGAATTAAAAAAAAAAGTAGCCATCACAAATCCTGTCTGTAGCCTGACCAAGCATGTACTTGTATTAAATGGTTTGGTACGTAGACTTCTCCCTTACTTTCTTGTTATATCCTTGAACAAAAAAGAAGTGGAAATTGTGAGAATAGTCCATGTAACTCTACTGTTCACTTTCAGCTTTTCCTTCCTGAATCCTAAACGTAGCGTGTGAGATTTGTTCTGCAGGCATGTTCAGCTCTCCTTCTCTCCCTACCCACCTGGAACTTGGGGGTTTCCTCAGCTGAGCCCTGTGCAAGGATGTGGGCCTTGTTCACTATACTGGAATGCTGGGTATTGGTATTCATGAGTTGTTTTTTTAAACCCCTTTCTGATAGCTTAAATTGAGAGTCGATCATACAGGAGCTTGAGTGTCCTTAGAACCCTTATTATTTTCATGTTTTTTTGTCCTCATAGCTAATTCCCTCTTCCCTCATTTAGCCAGGATTATATTGGAAGCTTCCTGTGTGCCTGATACTTTGCCAGTTCTTCCTTTACATTTTTTTTTCTTTTCCCTTCCTTCTTCATCCCTTACCCTTATATCACTTCCTTCCCCAGGGAGAGTGAGAGGGAAAAGGTACATAAATTTTAATTTCCTATGCACCATAAATCTTGGTAGCACTAGCTTCCCCTCTAAGATGCCACAGAAAACAGACCAGGCTTGAAACTTTCGTAGGTTACAGATCACAATTACTTCTGAGTGGTTTTCACACTTAAGACAAACATACATTTCAAAACGTGTCCTCTGGGCCTGCCTCCCTCACGTGGGCACACACACATATGCAGTGGGAATGTTGTTCAGTTTTCTGAGTTTAGCTGGTTCATGTCAGGTACGGTACCACGAGGAACATGACGGCACTGGTGAGAAGCATCTCACTGATCATAAAGTACTTGTCCTGGAAATCCCGCTTTTTGATGAGCTGCATCATTGGGTTGGACAAGCCCAGGATGCTGGCATTGTCAGGGATCCTCTTCTGAGTCCCCTTCAAGGTCATTCTCTTGGCCCTCAGTCCCTCCAGAATACTGTTCCTGCCTCCAATGAAGTCATTCATGCCGTGGTGAATTTTCTGGAGGGAGGAGCTAAACTCTAGTGATTAATCCATTGGTGTTATGATATCAGAGTTGTTGGTAGTGAAGGTGCAAGACAGAAGCTCCTCTTGCTGTCTCTCCTGCTGCTCCCTTGTGTATTGCCAATGCTGGAAGTTTCTGAGACCGGTCTGCAGGTGCTGGACATCATACTTTAATTGATGAACACGAAGTTTGGCATTCTGGCTTTTGTTAGGGAGCTCCTTTCCGGACAAAATCTCCAGACATTCTAGATGGCTGAATATCTGGTCTGTGCTTGCTTGGATTTCATTTTCTACTACTGCATGAAAGAGAAAAAAGAATAATTGAGTGCATAGATTGCTTATGTGCTGCCTTCAGTCGTCCCATGTGAGACTGGATCTAGTGGACCTGCCTCTGCATTTGCTGGTCCAGCTGTTCCATGTTGCCAGCCCAGCTGGGTTTAAAATTTTTGACATAGGTTTACTGCATATAGCTTAACTTTAATATATGCATTTCTGAAAAGTTGTTTATAAAGTGAAATGGGTATGCCAAATTATATATCTTTTCTATTCCCATTGTCATTTCAGAGTTGTAGTCCAGTGGGAAATTTGGCTCCCAGACATAATGTTTTATTTTATTTTTATTGATTGATTGATTGATTGATTGGAGAGAGAGAGAGAGAAACATCAATTTGTTGTTCCACTTACTGACGCAATTCACTGGTTGATTCTCTTGTGTTCCCTGACCAGGGATTAAACCTGCAACCTTGGCATATCAGAACAGTGCTCTAGCGAACTAAGCTACCCAGCTAGGGCATAAATTACGTTTAAGAGTCTTAGAATTGGCTTCAAAGAATGCACTATCATTCTGCTGCCTGGGTATAGTTAAGCCTCCCATTACACTGTGAAGAGAATTATTTTTGCAATCCGCACAGGAAAATATGATGGTACTTATAATTCCCATTTTCTGACAACTTCCTAAGTATGGGTCCTGTTATTTAAGTAGAGCCTCAACCTCTTTTATTTCAAACATTTAACAAACCATATTAACTAAAGTCATACTGGAAGCAGTTGCATTCAGTTATCAGTGATTCTTGGGATAAAGTGTGTACCTTTTTCAATAGCCTCTAAGCACAGCCTCATTAGAGAGTCAGTAGAGACCCAGGAGAGACATTGCAGATACAGATTAGATTCCTGAATGTCTTTGCCTTTATTATGGGAAAGAGTTCCCGGAAGGCATTTGGAATAGATACAATTATGTAATAGGAAATTAACCTCAAGTTTTTGGTGGGTTTAGTATCCTTTATTCTTTGTTTCCTAATGCAGCTGCTGAAAACCTTAAGGGCTGATCCTAGCTTCTTTCCCAGTATGAACCACAAAGACTGTAATGTGCTTAGGGACTCTTAACACTGAAGCAAAAAGACACAGGGAACTGGGGCACTCAGAGATTATTGTGTGACTTTTTGAGTTAGAGACATATTATGGTTCATTGTTTGTTACTGGGTTGTCATTAATTCTTGCAACAACACGCACATGTACATTAGCTGTAACTGTAGAAACTTGTCCCTGAGCTCATTATTTGGGAATTCCATCTGCTGTTTCTCTTCTCTGATATGGCTAATAGTGTTGACCATAGACCCCCTTTATACAGGGAGGAGGCAAGAGGAAGGTGAAGGAAAAGACATGTTAGTAGAATGAGACGTGTTTTGCTGGCTCAATCTGTGTGTGTTAGATGTCTCAGGGAGTCAAGCTGGGAATGTAGACCTGTACCTCCACCTGTAGGGTGGGTGGGTCTGTCCTCAGAAGTCAGATCCTGGAGTACTGTTGGCCTCTGTTTCTTCACACAGGTGTTCATTTAGCTTTTACTGTATGCTAAGAAGTGATATACAGACAGACAGGATCTTTGCCCTCATCCAACAACAGTATAATAGGGGAAGACAGAGCAAGCACTGAACCCTCAAATAAATGCTAGACCTTTCTTAAAACACTAGTAGTTTGACCCAGAAAGGTGGTACAGATTCACAGAATGAATATTATCTGGTTATTCTTCTCCTGGCATCACGTCGCCAACAGCCATCAGACAGTTTTGACTTGGAATCCCTACCTGTAATAACTACAATGCTTCTTCTTTGAGTCCGCAGCACTTTGAACAGCACCTGGCCCAAGGCTTATTCATGGTAAATGTTGGCTGAATTGGTTTGAATTTATTACCATCGGCAGGGAAACACTCTCACAGAGAGAGAAAAATGTAATCCTTCTCGGGAAAGCCACACGTGGTCTGATAGAGGAGTCATTTGGCCTCAGGTTTGACCTCTGACTGTGGCAGGCTGTACAGCCGCACCTTCGGAAAGTGCAGACTAGAAATGCCTATTTGGCTGGGGTGAACTTCCACCGTAGGGCATTTTCTATTCTAAAATGCAAAGATCATATATCAGCTTTATTGAAAGCAATTTTGGAAGTATAGTACTTGTATTTGTATCTTGTAATGATACCTGAAGGCACCTAAGTACCCAGGATATCCTGTAAGGACATGTGACTCCTTCTACCCCAGGCTAGTCTTCAGAGAAATCAGAACTCAGAATGAGAGAGAAGAGCCACTTTGTTATCTCTGTGCAGAGGCTCACAATTTATTCCTGTTTGGCTTAAAATTTTAAGTTCAGTGCTTATATTCTTTTGATGTCCTGGCTAGTAAATATTCCTGAAGACTCCCATACCCCTTTTAGCTAGGTTTAATATAGAAAGAGAGAGGTAAGACTATGTTCCTGCTAGTATGAAATGAGGAGAATTTCTGGGTGCGTGTCTGTGTTGGTGATGGGTTTTTGTTGTTGTTGTTGTGAATTATTAACCAGCTAACCAGGTGCTTTTTATGGCTCTCCCAGATTGACCACCATGGCTCAAATACCTACATAACCATGGAACACAATTACTCTGTACCCTTCCTCAGGTGATAAGAGCAGCAGAATTGGGGGTGGGTATCAGCAGTCACTGAGTGTTTTTGTGCCCTGTTGTGACAAGTAATTAAGAGCTTGAGTTCTGATGTCAGAAGATCACAACCCAGCTCAGCCATTATTAGCAGTGAAGCCTTAGGCAAATTATTTCACTTCTCTGAGACTCAGTTACCTCATCAGTAAATCGTGGATAATAGTTGCACCTGCTTCTTACCTAGGTGAGATCACCTAGGTAAAGTGTTTGGCATGGCACATGGCACATGTTAAAAGGTCCATCAGTGGTAACTCTAGTGTGATACATGCAAATTCTCATAAACTGACACACAGGAACACATGAAGATTTGCCATCTTTTTACCAAGGGCATAACGAAATTCAGTACTCTTGCTCTCCCTTGTTCTAGGAGACCCAGGAGTAAGGGAAATTTCTGGTTTGTGGATCTCTGTGTGAGAAAAATCCTTTTTGTTACTTAAGTCTTTATGTAAGAAAAGAAGATGTGTAGGACTGAGGGAGGACACATGTGGCAGTGGGTACCTCTTACAAGGACTTGCTCTGCCGACTATGCAGTGCCCAGGTCCCCAGCTGGGGAGCCCTGGGACTCAGGAGTCACCCAGATGCCTTGCCTTTGGTGATTACTTAGACCTCTGTTAGCACATCCTTGTTCAGGGCCACCACTGTCTCTCTGAGGAAATTCTTGAGCTGTGAGAGCTGGCCAGTCCAAAGGAATGCCTGGGGGGCTAGACCTAGGACAGCCTTGTCCCACTTCTGCTAGGGGCCTGTTGCCCTGGGCCTCTTATTGAGGAAGGTGTCTCAGTCTGTGATCTTGGGGACCATGACCATTTTTCCTCTGCTATGCACTGTGCATGGCATAGATTTCCTAGCGTATTGAGTACAGGTCTATAGTCTAACTCAAAACAAAAGTTTGCCCTCCCTGCCTAGTAGTTGATAGATCTTTAAAATGATGCAGTTGTACAGCAGAGTTGCTCTTATTAGTTTCAGACTGGGCCCAAAAGAAACAAGAAACACTCCCCCGCCTCTTTTCTGGAGCATATAGGCTTAGATGCCCTGAGATGGGGGAATCTTGCCCAGTGCCATACACGGTTCTTCACTGTCATTACAGATAAGTGCACATGTCCTGGGATTCCAAAAGGCCCCGAGTCCTTCCCTGAGTGTCCCAGAGATGTGCACATGTACAGAGCATGGAAGCTGGTCAGTTGGTCTTGCCATAGTTGTGTTTTGTTTTGTTTTAATGTTTTTAAGGCATCATCACAGCACCTGTCTTGGCATTGTTATTCACCTTTTAGAGCCAGTGGCATGGTGGTTAAGAGTCCGAACTTCAGTGTCCGACTGCTTGGATTTGAACTTAGTCCTCCCTCCCACTTTGTGACCTTGAGCAAACCACTTAACCTCTCTGTGCCTCTTTTTTTTGTTTTTTCATCTGAAATTTATTCGTAAGGTTATCATAAGGATTGAAAGAGCTGATGTGGAAGTTTTGTGGCCCGGCCTGGAAGGCATCTGGCAATGGGCTCTATTTTTGTTAAAGTTGTTAAAATGGAGACAGCTGGTAATTGTCTGGCCCTGTTTCATATTTCCCTCTCACAGCTCAGTGACTCAGGGGGCAGCTGGGATACAGTGAAGCACTGAGTGTCCTGTTTGCTTCAGTCATCTGAAAAGGCGAGGCAGCTTTGGCCAACGTGGGGGATGCCCCCTCTCCTCTCAGGGTGGCGCTTGGTGGCTCGTTGAGTGTAGAGTCTTTGGGTGGCCAGGCGGGGGTAGGTGGGGCCTGGGATGGGATGCCTGGAGGTGTGTGCCCTTGACCCCAGTTTTTTTGCTGTTTGTGCCCAGGTGGCAGCACCATGGATAGCTCCGCAGGAGGCAAGGCTAGGCCTGAGGCTGGGGAGGACAAGGAGGGATTCCTTTCCAAACTTAAGAAAATGTTTACCTCCTGATACCCAGCCGAGGTAGGAAAACCCTTGAGGTTTCTCCCCTTTGTCTCCTTCTGTGCACTAATCCGTATTTGCCCTTACTTTAACCGATGTCATACTCCCCACCACCCGGAGTCGGAAGCGGTACCAGTCTCAGGCATGGTGTATTTGCCTCCCGCTTTGGAGCCAAGACTTTTGGCCCATGGAGACACCTGCATTAGCTAACATGGCTGAGTCAGTGGCAGTCCAGGGCTGAACCAGACCGCAGGGAAAGGCTGCACTGGGGGCAGGCATGCCTCCCAGCCCTCCCTCCACCAGCTCCCAGAGGCATTGCATCCCACAGTGGTGGGCACCAGGTTGCCAACAGTCACAGAGGGCGAGTCACAGGAGAGCCAGACTTAGAACTCAGATCTCTCCAACTTGCCACCTGTTTTATAGCACCTGTTCTACCTGGGGTGTAGAACCATATAACCTCTGGGGGGCTGCCAGGAGTTGCGCTTGGTCACTGTGGGCTCTTGGGACCAACTTTTTATTTGTGCGGGTTCCTGGTGGCTGGGGCTCCTGGCATAGCTCCTTCCCAGGGATGATAAAAGCTCACCCACAGGGATGTGTCTTGCATTCCCAGTAAACTGTAACCACTTGTGTGTCTTGGCTCAGGAAAACGGTCCACTGGAAACTAGGCCGGGAGCAGCAGCCCCTCCTTGTGGCCAGGGCACCTTGGAGACAGGAGGATTCCAGAACAGCAGTATCAAGCCCTGCCTGCAGAGGCCCTCTGGAACCTTGGCAACCGCAAAATCATGTGACAACACACCTCTCCACAGAATGGTCATGGTGGACAGCTCCTGGGCAGAAAGGCGTGGCACGCCCAGGGGCTGGTAGATTTCTCGTCCACGGGTTGGTAACTAGGCCTCTTCTGGCTCAGAGTAAGATATCGGGACACTTCTTGAAATTAGAGCCAAAACTTTTATTTGGAATCAAATGTGGTGGAAATCAGTAAAGAATTAAAGGCCATGCTTACAGCTTAAAAATGAAGCCTAAAACTGCACCAAGTTGTGAAGTGATTAATTTCCCTCTCATTAAACTTCTGGGAGGTTCTGGAATGAGTCTTTTCTGACATGTTGTCTTTTCCAGGAACTTGGGGCCTGTAAGCCCCACCAGCACTGCCCACCCTTCAGTATAGAGGCGGCCATTGCTTTTCTTGGAGTTTGTTTTAATGCCCAAGGGTACCAAGCAGCTGAAACGTGGGGGCCGTGATCTTTGTCAGGACAGACAGTCCTCCCTCCCACCCCAGCTGTGTGGCCTCTTGTCCATGGCTGTGGAGCTCTGGTGTTTGAAGCCAGGCCTGAGTGGAACTCTGCCTGTCCGCTGGTCCATGGGCCTCCCTGGCCACATCCTGGCTGACGGCCTCCTTATCCTAGAGCCTTACCCCCACTGCCTGCCACAGCTTGGTTCTCACCACTTACACTGTTGACACCTGTTTTCAGAAATGTGTTTAAATTATTTAATGCTAAGAATCATTGTCTTCCTGTATAAATGTTTGTTCAGAAAAGGAAAGTGTAGTCTAAGCAATGGAAAGCTCTCCACCATCCAGCCAGAGCGAAACAGTTTCCCCAACCTCAGCTTCTAGGAAGTTCAGATTCCGTGTTTCCAGACCTTCCTGTTGGTAAGACAGGCTAATGGCGAACACTTCTGAATAGTTTTCTTTTTGTTTCCTTCATAATTTACTAAAATAAAGCATCTATTAGTGTCTTATCTATGAATGTAAAGTGATTCTGTATCCATGTAAAAGATTATCTACTGCAAAGAGATATTTAAAACTTACATTGTGGTTACGTCTTCTTTGAAAGAGCTCAAGCAGCTTTCTACAGGTGGCTTAGCAGGGGCTTATATGGTGTTCATGTGCAGGTCAGGCCACCCCATGTTTCCGCTCGCCTTCCTGGAGCTGGCTGCAGAGGTGGCTGACCTCACCCACAGAGTCATGCCTCCCTAAGAGCATACTCACACTGATGGATCGGTGGTATTTCGACAAGTGCTGACCCTCTTAAACCCAAATCCCAGAGAAGGGAGCTTCCCATGCAACGAGCTAATTTGAATGAATGTTCTAGAATTTTGTGGGTAGCTTCTTTTTTGGGAGCCTGTGTCATGAGAGATGTGCATTGTGGCCTCCTACATCAGTTTCCTTTGCTACATTTATTTTTCCCCCCAGATTATTGTCAGAGGAATATTAATGTATTTTTTTGTGTTAAAATTTTTGCTCATTGTAGTTTGACCAGTCTGGGCTCCTGGCAGAGTCTGTCTCACAAAATCCTCAACGCTGGCACCACTGGAGTGGGCCCTGAGCACATTTCTGACCAACCCCTATGTTCTGAGTTGAGCAGCTTGAGGTGTGAGTGCACTTGCTGGGTTGGGTGAAGAGGATGGGCAAGAAAGGGGCGGTGACCTCCCAACAGTTGCAGATACTTGTCCTTCATTCAGCAAATTTTTATTGAGTGCCTGTTGTGGACTCTCAGCATGGGCCCCTTCACAATCCTAGACCCAGGTACAGCAACAGGAAGCTAGGTGGGGCATCTTTTGACAGCTTAGTTTTCCTCTGGAGAAGTCAGCTGAGTCCCACTCATACATGTCTTTTGAAAGCAGAAGTCTGGAGGAAGACTTTGAAAGACGTGGATTTTCTTGCTACCAATAAATACCATTATTGCTATTCTGAGGGTCCTTCCCACAGATGTAGGAAGGTGGCAGTACAAATCTAGCATCCAGTTTCCTTCAGTGCTTGGAGTGGGCTTATCCCCAAAGCTAGCTTCTCAGGCATATTTCACCAGATAACTTGGCAGCCTGAGTTGGGGCTGGAGTGGAAGATGAGGCATTTAAAAAATACAAAGAAGTATCTCTAGGCCCCCAAGCCTTTGGGGATTGAGAGGAGGGGGAAGGTAGATGGGTATTGAGCATTTCCTGAAATGTTAAGAGGATGAATGAGGGAAGGCCTGGTCACATAGGGATGAGACAGACTTGGACACTGGACTTTGTCTCCATCCCTATCTGCAGGCTTCTGTTCTAATTTGTTTACCCACCTGAGCCATCCTCTTCCTCCTCTGTGGGCCTTTGGATTCTGATGGACTTGAATGCAACATTCCTTCCCTGTCATGAAACACCCCCTCAATGTACAAGGATTTCTCCAGTCCCACAAGCCTCTTGGCTGCTTATATGTCCAGGGACTGTCCCTGACCTTTACTCTGTTCTGTAACAATGGAGGCCATCACTGAATACTAAATTATATGAATTGTCATGGCTTTTGCAGAAGGCACGTAGCACTCTTGTTAATAAAGCACTCGTGTTTATTAACATGACTTTGTATCATTTAACCAAAGTTCTGCTTATTTGGCATGATCCTTGCGAAGGATCACACATGGGCCAGTCAGGAACTTAACATAAATAACAACGTGGGTCTTGACCTATAGCTTCAGTGCCCGGAGACAGTAGAGAGTGGTGGAGTCTGTGGCTGCCACTGTTCAGCTCCACCCAAGGAGGGCAGGGGGCTATGCAGGGATTCAGACCAAATGCTGCCAGATCTTCTGGCGCTTTCCAAGAGAAGCTGGGCATCCAGATTTTTATATGGAGATTTTAGTTACCTCATTTTAGAGGTAACATTATTGAGATTAATTTACAAACTATTCAACTCACCTTTCAAGTGTAGTTTTGTGGATTTTAGTTCAAGGTTATACAACCATCACCACAATCAATTCTAGAACATTTTCATCACCTCAAAGATAAATTCCGTATCTTTTAGCAGTTACTCTCCATTTTCTCCCAAGTCTTTCAGTCTCTGACAACCACATATCTACTCCCTGTCTTATGAATTTTCCTGTTCTGTATATTTCATCTAAATGGTGTCATACAGCTCTGGCTGGTGTGGCTCAGTGGATTGAGCACCATCCTGCAAATCAAAGGGTCACTGGTTTGATTCCCAGTCAGGGCACATGCCTGGGTTGCAGGCCAGGTCCCCAGTTGGGGGTGCATGATAGGCAACCACACATTGATGTTTCTCTCCCTCTCTTTCTCCCTTCCTTCCCCCCCGTCTGAAAATAAAATCTTTAAAAAAAAAATGGTGTCATACAATATGTGAACTTTTGTGGTTCTTTTCTGGTTTCATTTAGCATGTTTGAAGGTTTATTCATGTTATAGCATAAGTTAGTACTTAAGTTCTTTTTATGGCTGAATAATATTCCACTATATGAATAGACCACCTTTTTTTTTTTTTTTTCCTTATTCATCCTTTAGACATTTGGGTTATTTCCATTGTTTTGCTATTATCAATAATATTTCTATAAATGTCTCATTTTAATACATTGGCAGCTATTTATATGAGGTGCTTGGAGTAGTTAAGCTCATAGAGACAGAAAATAGAAGGGTGGTTGCCAGGGGCCAGAGGAGGGTTGGGGAGCTAAAGTTTAATGGGCACAGAGTTTCAGTATGGAATGACAAAAAAGTTCTGGAGACGGATGGTGGTGGTGGTGGTTGTACAACAATGAATGTATTTAATGCATTGAACTGTACATTTAAAAATGACTAAAGTAGTACATTTTGTTACATTTTATCACAGCTAAGAAAATGAAAAATAAATGATGGCAGCTAACTGGTGTATTTCAGGGACCACATTTCAGAAGACCAGGTACACATGGCAGTCCACCTGATTAGGTCTTGTGCTGGGAACCCCTCAGCCAGTAGGGCAGCATGGTGGCAATAGTCCCCTCCATGTGATGCTCTGTGTGGTATGACCCCCATGTGGTTTCTTTTTGATTTGAAGTCGGGGCAGGATCACCCTGGGTCAGGCAGGGCATCTGATTTCAACATTCAGGGTGGGCAAAGGGTTTTCCTTTCCAGTCACATTTGGTTATTGCCGAGAGACAAGGTAGGTAATCAGTGAACACAAATGTCTCCTGCAGGTCCAATGGTTTAAAATACTAGGATTTTTGCTTTTTAATAGACTATAATTTTTAGAACAGTTTTTAGGTCCACAGCAAAATTGAGAGGAAGGTACAGATTTCCTATCTACCCCCTACCCTGTCACATTAGCAACAGAGTGGTATATTTGTTGTAACTGTTGCACCTACATTGATACGTTATAATCACCTGAGTCCCTGGTTACATTTGAATTCATGCTTGGTGTTGTATGTTCTGTGGGTTTGGACAAATGTATAATGACATTCATCTACCACTGTGGTATCACAGAGTACTTTCACTGCCTAGGATTTGGGCTTTATATGTGGTATGGATAGTTCATAGCACATGGGGCATCCTGAATTGTGCTCGGTTTTGGGACATGGACTGTGCACACCTCAGTTGGCTGGTTTTGGCCATACCTCAGATGCGGGCAGGTAGATGCCACCTATTAGAGGAACAGGAGGCTGAAGGGCACTGGAGGCTAGCAGGGTTTAACCATATGTTAAGAGGGAGAAGGTGACTGGGGGTGTCAGGCATTCCTTTGCACAAATGAGCTCACAGTGCCCTCACAACAGCCCAGCCAGGCAGCACTAGGTAAGCAAACAGACAAGAGGGACTCAGTGATGCACCCAGGTCCTGCCACTTGTGGGTGAGGAGTGCTCGAAGCCCAATGTCAGCTCACTGAAGTTCACTTCGGGTTCACCCTGGACCTGCACACAGCGTCTCTTCCCAGGCTCTCTACTGACTGCTTCCACTCCAGGATCTCAGCACAATGAATCAGCCCCCAGCAGGTGAGTTTTCCCACCTGGGGGCCTGGAGGGGTTGGGCATCACACAGGGCTGGATGCAAATTGCCTCTCGTGTTCTTTTGCTGGCCCAGGTGTTATGGAATCCCAAGCTCTTAGGGTCTTTGTCTTCCTACTCTGCCTCAAAGGCTCACTGTCCTCTTAGACCTCAGAGGATGTCCCCATTCCCATTAAAGTAGGCTCCTCCAGTTGTTACCCTCTGTTCTCTGCCTCTCTGTCAGTCTGTAATTATTCATTGCATATTTATATCTGGCTCTCCTACGAATCTCCTCAAGGCAAGGAGCATAATTTTTTTGGTTACTACTGTATTTTGGACCTAGCACATTGGTAACTTGTCAAAGAAGTACTTGTTAAATTAATAAACAGATGGTATGAATTGGGTAGAACTGCCACCCCCTTCCATGAGTCTCTGGGTACCAAGGGTAGTTAAAAGCGTCATGATGGAGGTTACACAAATCCACAGAACATAAGCCTGCCATGGAAACTCAGGCCATTGAACTTTGGGTTGGTGGCCTGAGCTCTGTGGGTCTTGGTTCCTTTTCTCTCCAGTGAGCAGGAGATGGAAGGTTGAACCACCCCACCATCCAAATGCCTGGTGGACACTATAAACAAAGCAAGGTTGTTACTTCTTGGTTTTACTCCTAGTCTTTCCTGCAAGCAGTGTCACCTTTTCTCAGCAGTGTCCAATTATGGTGACCGTGGGGTTTTTCTTCCAGTCTGTTTTGAAGATCACACAATCTTAAGGCTGTACCCCAGGGCAGGCCCTGCCTAGGAGGGGGAGGAAAAAGGGAGAGGGGCTCACTCCTGCCACCCTCAATTTGAAGGAAGAATATACCCCTGCCACTGACCTCACCAACTTTCTGGAGCTGAAGGGTGTGTGTGCAGGGAAGTCAAAAGGTGCGGCTCCTGACTGGCATGGGGAGTTCTCTGTGTCCTGGATTCTGTTCATGCTTTGAGTGAATTTCAAATGTGGAACAGGGTGGTCAGAGTCACGCCCTGGCTGTGGTCACAGTGCTGTTTCATACCTGTTTGACCAAACTTAAAACTGCACTTTAAGTCCTGTGTGTTTTTACCAAATGCCTATTCTGCCCTCACACCCCCTCCCTGCAGGGTGAGGGCACTGGGCTGTTGGGAACTGCCCTGTCTGGCTTCAGGGATTGTAGCCTCACCGACAGGCAAGAGGGCCCCAAGGCTGGAGCTGAGCAAGGAGGCCTTGGGAAAACAGGACACACTGAGGAGACAAAACCTGTCCCCCTGGCAGGGGTGCAGCCCCTGCCTCCCTCACATCACCCTGCTCGGCCCTGGAGGATGGCTGGTTGGTCAATGATGGGTAAGACCCCTCGATGGCAGGGGCAACCTAAGAGAGGCACAGTCGCATAGCGACTACCAGGGAAGGACTTCGGGGACATGGAGAAGGGGCAAAAGACCCTTACCCCTCGGCTTTGTCTGGCTGGAGTCCTCATTCTATTTGCAGTAAGTCTCCTTATCTCCAGACTGCTCTGCTCTACCTGCCTGGCGCAGGCTTGAGACAGTACTAAAGGCAGGTACAGCCCTAAACTGGATCAGGCAGTTCCAGGGACAATTAGGCCTGAAAAAGAAATGCATTAAATCCTATGAAACTTACGTTGCTAAGAATGCCCTTGAGTTAATGAGTACTGATATCTGGGGTCGGGCACAGATTTCAAAAAAATCAGTTTCCCAGGTTTTAGGGCCGAATGGGTGCCACTCTGTCTACCAGACCCTGACCTGAGGCAAACCTCTGTGTTCCTTCAATTGTTATCTATGATCTCTATTTTCTGTAAACATAGCCTTTTGACATTGATTGATGAGCTTTGCATGCATTCTGTATAACCCTGGGCATATGGTTCTCAATAAGAGCCACTTCAAGAGAAGGATTTGGGGCATTCTCCACTAGAGGGAATTGCCACCCCTTTTTCCTGGCAGACCGAGAGTGTCTGGAACGACTTATTTTCTTCCATCCATGGAGACCCAGGGGGACTCTGTGGGAACCGGGTACCCCCATCACTGGACCCACCACAACTCGATGCCTCCTGTTGGAGTCAGTGCCCAACAGCTGCCACCTCAGCCAAACTCCCAGAAACAAGGCCCTTTTCTTTTGGAAGCCATCTGTGAGAACAATGGCCTTTATTTTTAAAATAAAATTTTTTGTAACACAAGAAAGGATCACTGTGGCTTTACCTCCCCTCCCCCTAGATGGTGTCAAGAAGTAGGCAGGGTCACAACAACCTGGAAAAGTCCCCTTTGTGCTGCTCCAGCCACTGATCCAGCGTCTTGGCCTTGGGGTTGAGCCTCAGGGTCAGTTCAATGTCCCGGTTGGGTTTCAAGGCATAGAAACGGAACATGTTGGCCAGGTCCTGAGCCCCAGGGAAGCCAAGCTTCTCATACTCCTCCGGGGTAGTCTGGAAGCAGAGAGGTATCTATGAGGACCCATCGACATCTCAGTGCCCTGCTGAGGTGGTGGGGGCTGGGGGCACCTCCATCTCTACCAAGGTCCTTGCTAAGTCCATCTGAAACCCACTGTCCTAAGTCAACTTGGATCTCAACTCAGCTCCTCAAACCCTCCATGATCTGCCTCAGGCTTTTCTTTTTTTTTAGATAGTAACAGTTGGCCACTCAGTGCCTGTTTTCTAC